CAAAAACCCTAAAGCGCAACTGATAATACTGGTCATAACCATCAAGATTATCCATGAGAAGACCTGGAAAGTGGAAACACTGAAGTGACAGTGTGGAGAGGAGCACTGTTAGGGATTACCCGGGGGGGTCTTCGTTAGTGATTACCGTACGGCTGGATGAGCTCATTAAATATAGACTGATACCTGGAATAAACACTCCTGCATAAACAGGCTGCAGGTAATAATAAACTGCTTATTTCCCGAGCACCTTACAGGGGCCGAGTAGGTACTAATGGTTTGGTAATACGAAGTAATTCAAGAAGAAGAAAAAATCACTAGGTCCTGGTGGAGAACCGGTAGAGATTATCAAGTCAGTATTGCAAAACCAGTAGAGATAATATTTCATATGTGTATAACAAATGCGTCGATCAACCAAAGTATGCGTCAAAATGAAAAATTTCTAAACTGGTGCTTATCAAAAAAGGTGGAACACCAGTAAGTACACCACTTAAAGATGCTTCATAAAAAGATCCATTTATATGATAAATACCGGTGATATTGAATTAAGTCCATGCTACTTTTATGTATTTAAATTGAGTCCAGCTTATTATCTTAATATCTTTGAATACAGGAAAATGACTGAAGCCGGTATTAGGCCTGTCCAACCACACAATAATTAACAATTATCCATTCAACTCTCAATGCCCATATTATATTCTATAACAATTCAGTGTGAAAATTATTCAATTATATCTATTCGTCCCAAAATTTAACGATATTAAACTAAAAAAAGGTGGGTAAGTGGATGTCGCTCTGCTGTACAGTAGGTTACAAGTGGGTCACTGTATAATGGATGCTATTAAATTTGAATTCAATGATACAATATCATTGTATAAGAAAAACGATTCTGAGCGAAGACGGTATGTCAGTCTAGGTTTAATACAAATTATATACATATATCTATGGTATTAAAAAAAAAATTGACCTATAATAAATTCCAAATTAATCATATCACATTATCAAAATATTCATTAGGTACTTATAACACGTTATACATTAACATCAATAACAAACCCTGATACTATCATATATATATAATAGTACACTTTAGAAGTTTCAAGTAGGTACCCACGAATAATATTATATAATCACAACAAAATAACTAGGTTTTTTAATATGTAATTTCGTCCAAATTTGAACATAAAATGACTATAAAAATAAACTGTGATTGTATATTTTTTAGATTTTTCGGTAAGAGAATTAACTACTTACGTGGAATCTTGTTTTAAATTTTAAATCCTTAGCTATAAAAACTGAACATTTTATAATTTATTAATTACGATGATTAATAATTTTCGAGATTTTGAAAATTCTATCAAAATTCGATGTTAAAATGCTTATAAAAAAAAATTGTGCCTATGTATTTTATATATTTTTCAACTGATATTGTAACAATATATCAGGAGTCTTGTATTAAATTTTTACACTTTTTGGCCCAACAGATAAAACTTAATTGATATTTATAGAAAAAAAAAACTAAAAAAATTGAAAACTGAAAATGTCCGTAAACGGCTCAAAAAGTGTCAAAATATTTTCAAAATAGTAGGGTGTATAGGAAATGCTAATATAAACATTCAGTGAAATTTTCATGTATCTACAGTAATTCGTTTTTTAATTACAACAAAAAAAGGAAATTGCCACATGAGAAATCGAGTGAATATCCAATGTTGTAAAAATTTGAATTTCAAACGCTCATAAAAATTTAATTTGACTTTCCGGTAGAAATTTTTTTATTGATAAAGGTAGACAATCTTATGAATAATCTTGTATTAGATTTTCAAATCTTAGATTTAAAAAGAAAAATTTTTACGAATTCTTAACTCAAAATAATTTGCTAATTTTCGTGATTTTTCCATATTTTGTCAATTTTTGAACTTTAAATGCTTATAAAAAAAAATTGTGACTAAGGATTTTTAATATTTTTCATCTGCCTTTGAAACAATATATTAGGAGCCTTCTATTAAATTTTCAAGCTTTCGCAACCAACAAATAAAATTTTATTGATATTTCTAGAAAAAAAACTAAAAAAAAACGAAAAATGAAAATGTCCCTAAACAAGTCAAAATAAATCAAAATATTTTGAAAATGTTATCGTGTATAGAAAATGCAAATATAAACAACCAGTGAAAATTTCATGTATATACGTTCATTTGTTTTAGAGTTACACCAATAACCAAAATTGATTTTTTGGAAAATCGACTTTGCGTAAAAATTCCCGTTTTTCCTTAATTTTTATGTTGTTTTTCCCGGCGCTTGTGAAAACTACTGGGAAATTTAAATTTTGACCTCCCCAATGCACCAACGATATTCACTTTCCAATCGAACAAGATACTGAAGTCGAAAATCGATGCATTATTTCGACTACTTATCGTGTACACAGATACAAAAAAAATAAAAAAATAAAAAAATAAAAAAATAAAAAAATAAAAAAATAAAAAAACACACATCATTGTAAAATCAATACATTCATCGTTTCACTCAGAATCTAAAATGTTTCTTTCATTTTATTCAAGCAGTATATTGTATATATTCTTAAAAATATTAAGTAAGATAATTTAAGTAAAATAAATTTTACTTAAATTAACCTACTTATTAGTTGGTACTGCAAACGTTTTATATAGTTCTTATTTTATGTATTATATAAAAATATTTTTAATTACAAATTATAAAATAGCCCGTAAGTATTCTATCTTGATTATTTAAACTAATTGTAAATTATAATTATTATGTTATGAAAAGATACAGCAAAATATATTTTAGTGTTTTGGATTCTGAGTGGAACGATGAATGTATTGATTTTACAATGATGTCTGTTTTTTAATTTTTAATTTTTTTTTTGTGTCTGTCATCCCCTTTTAGGACAGTAAAAGTGCTTGGATTTCCTTCAACAGTATCTTTTCTGATAGGAAAGTGAAATCTAGTTGGTACTTTGGGGGGGGGTCAAAAGTAAACATTTTCCAATAGTTTTCAAAAGCCCCGTGAAAAACAAAAGAAAAATTAAGTAAAAACGGGAATTTTTAAGCAAAATCTGTTTTCGAAAAAATCGATTTTGGTTTTTGGTGCAACTCTTGAACTAATGACTGTACGTACATGAAATTTTGACTGAATATTTATATTTTCATTTTCTATACACCATAATATTTTCCAAATATTTTGACTTATTTTGAGCTCTTTACGGACATTTTCAGTTTCCATTTTTTTAAATTTTTTTTCTATACATATCAATAAATATTTATTTGTTGGATACAAAAGCTTGAAAATGTAATAGAAGGCTCCTGATATATTGTTACAATAGCAGTTGAAAAATATTAAAAACACATAGGCACAATTTTTTTTATAAGCATTTAAAGTTCGAATTTTGACAAAATTTATCAAACTTAAAATGTACTAATTATTTTGTAGCTAAAATGTTATAACATTTTCAACTTTTATAGGTGAGGATTGAAAATTTAAAACAAGGCTCCACGTAAATAGGTTATAATATATAAATTACTTTATTCACAATAATATCATCAAATATACTTTGTAATATCTTAGGCTGACTGACCATTTTCGCTCAGAATCGTTTTTCTTATACAATGATATTATATCATTGAATTCAAATTTAACACCATCCATTACAGTGACCCACTTGTAACCAACTGTACAGCAGAGCGACTTTTTTTTTTTCTAGGCAATTAGTAGACAAAATTATTAGATTGATTGATTTTAAATACAGTTTTTTTTTTCTGCACGTTATTGTTTGATTTTTAAACCCGAGAACTTGAGTCATAAACTCATAACATTACTAAATGTATTACAAATAATGAATTTGCGAGAATATCGTTTGATTTTTACTGACTAATAATGAGCAAACAATAAAGTAACAAATAACCTAAATCATTAGTTTATGCCCTGCAGCCTTAATGTAAGATAAAATGTATTTTATAGGTACACAGAAACATTTATTGCTAAGTGAACTTAAAATCTTTTTCATTAAACTACTACATTCAAATAGAAAATTATTCTTTCAATAAAATTATTTCTTGGTAGTTCTTTATGTTTTATTGCAATTTAAACTACTCGTATTTTTTATAATGTTCGTATAATTTTATAAGAATATTTAGCTATTTATAAATACAATTATTAATTATTCCACAGGTAACCCAAGTTGGATTATAATATTGTTTACTATACAATGATTCTAATGTGAGATTCGAGAAAATGTATATTTTTATACCAATTCCTGGATTACTGATCATTTCCTGAAAATTTAATTGAATTTTTCTGATTCAAATTTTCCTATTTCATTTTAGTCAGAGCTTGGTTGCAAATCAAGATTTTTTATAATTTCGAAGAAAATAGATTCAACAGATTCCTAATAACCTTAAAGTTTAAATTGGTATTTTGATGAATTGTTATCATATTATGATCACACTAGACATTTTAGGTATAAGTAAATTAAAATAATAATAATAATAATAATAGTTATAACATTATATATTTCTAAAAAAAACACCTTAAATTATACAATTGACATTATAATATGGTCATCATACATTTCTAAAATCCAATTTTCCATATTATCTTTTGATGTAATAATTGTGATAATATTTAAACAAAAATGTAGAATTGTTTTTTATAGTTACTTTTTTATAAAATACCCAACAATAACACTCTGGTAACAATGACACAAATTGTATATGTATATTATATATTTTATATTAAAACTAAAAAGCTTAATTTAAATGTTTATCACATATTATGGTAAAAATGTAATCATATCAAATTATTCTTAATTTTTGGTATACAGTTTAATGGTTGACTAGTTTGAGAGAGTTTATATACCAAATTTTTGATATAATCATATATAATTTGTAAACATTTAAAAATTGTACATCATATGATAATAAAACAATAAAATATACACTTTTCTATTTATAAGAATAATATTAAGTTGAAAAAAAATTGTACTTTTAACGTTATAAAGTAACATCAGATATATTCGAATTTTTTCGATCAATAAACGTTTCGCTATTCCTTGGCGTTCTCATTATTTTTCCACTAGTAATCAGTCGCCCAAATCCTTCTTGATGAGCAAATGCATATCCTGACCTAATCGAACGTCGTTTGTGCCTCACTGACATCGATCGCGTTCCAGTTCCCGATACTTGCCTCCTAAAATAATATCATATTTATCAATATTTTTATGTCTGATAAAATATCTGTTCTATAATATTTGGTAATAGTTTGGTTTACGTTTGCCTCAGTTGCTTCAAACGGAGTTTATCGGTAAGAACGGGCCTCGTTTCCAGAAAATACAGACGCCAAGCAACCACAGGGCTCACAATTACAACCACAACGAGTAACGTCACCAACCAAAATGTTGGTTGTTGCATTGCCTAATATAGCACATATAAACAATCAAACACTTACACTCGATACATTATCATATAATATTAGAAATATATAATAAGGAACTGAAAATCAAATTCAGTTACTATACACTTACCATTGCCAAAGATCCTACATAGATTCCTCCGATGAGATAGTTATAAATCCATTCAGCAACGAAGAATAGTGCCAAAGATCCCCAGATAACAATATGGTTAATTACAGTCCAGTATGACGTATCAAAAGCTACCTACATAATAGTATATTAATTCTCGTATGTAATCAATAATTCTACACCACCACACACCACCGACCGTTTTTATTCAAATATTGTTAAAACGATTTACCTGTACGGTCATGACAGTGACCAGAATCATTGCAACGACTTCTGCCATGTACATATGATCTAAAACGTTCAATCCACTCGAGGTCATACCATAAAAATAGGCACCTGAGAAAAAAATTTTTGTTAAAATTAAATCACTACCTATGAATCATTCTTAAGAAGACAATGTAAATACCATAAGGTACAAAAAATATCACTAGCGAAGCGTACGTTCCCAAAGCCGCGCACTTAAAAAACTCTTTAGTGTTGAAAAACATATTTTGGATTCCTGGCGTGTAGAGTTTTGGGTACATGATACTTTTTGAATCATTAACGTCCTGGTCCAGAGCCCCGATTGCCAGTACTGGCAGTGCGGTGTAAAACATATTATAAACGGATATGTAAAAAGGATCGAAAATCGTCTGCAAGAAAACATAAAATAATAAGCAACGATTGCAAATACAGTTTATTTTTTTTTCAATAAAAAATACCTGAGCGCTGAAACCACAAAAGAATCCGAACCAAATATGACAAAGAGTAAACGCCAAGTTTTTGTAGAAGAAATAACGCAAGAATTTGCACATTCTATAGTACGACCACCTGCCATGGACCAGAAGCAATCTTTCCAAGAATCGAAACTGTCCTAGAGAATAGTCGGATGCCAGTGTCGCCTGATTTCCCTCCTGGCCAGTGATTCCCACACCTATGTGAGCTTCTTTTATCATTGACACGTCGTTAGCACCATCGCCGATTGCCAACGTCACAGCTTTCTTGTACTTTTTAATGAGCTGCACCACCATTGCTTTTTGAAGAGGTGTTACTCGACAGCAAATTACCGCTTTACCTATGAAATACGTGTTTCAAATTATTAAATTTTCGGTCATCGCCTGGTGGTAATTAAAATAATTTTTGCCCTTTATAGGAACTCACACTTTGTGCACAATTCCACAAATTTATACTCAAGCTCAGTGTGCAACGCGTGCACCAATGAATGGCCATTGATGACTAAAGCGTACATACGCTCTTCACTATCTTGCATTTCAACGTCATCGGGTTCGCTATAATGGATATTGTTTTTAAATCACAAGATATTGATCTGTTCCACGAATAATATTACTACATATTATAATTCTACAAACCTAAATCGTACGACACTCGCAGCCATACTATTTCTTTCCGATCGATGTTGTTCCGAAACGCCCAAAAGCGAATTGTTACACTGGTCGAGCTGATATTCTACTTGGTCCTGAGTGTTTCCGTCAACTATCCATAGTTCCATCTCATCGTTTAGTAGTTGACAAGAGTATCCAATATTTATGGCAGTTTCTGAAACAAATGACACATAATTTTTAAACGAATAATTTCAAATAACATTTGAATTTATACTCATTTGTATATCATCCGTGTTTTTAATAATATATTATGCGTTAATTTAATTAACTTTTTATAATTATAACAATATTTGATAAAATGAAGTTAGGTACACCTAATTTGATTTATTATAATTTATTTTAATATAACATACTTTAACTCTCTACTTCAAACTCATGCTTGACTTACGATAAGTAGATGACCGATAAAGTAAACCGTTGATAATAATTAAGATTACTTTATTTTGCACATTTTTTGAATCATGTGTTTTCGTGCGTTAGTGTACGTACCTTGTTTGTCTCCAGTGAGCATCCAAATATACATTCCCGCCATGAGCAAGTTAGATATAGTCTTAGGGACGGCATCCTGTAATTTGTCTTCGATAGCGGTTATACCTACAGTTGACGATAAACTGGTTAGATACGTTTCAAAAAGATGCTCGGCCGACGCATAAGTCTTAGATTTGTTGTTGTTTTTTACCGATTAAACTCAGATGGGTTTCTATTTCGTCGTAGACGTTGTCGAGCTTCTCTTCTCTGTCAGTCCGGGCCGCGGCAGCATCCATGTACTTATGTTTCCACGAATCGAAAAACTCATCGTCAATATCCCTGACCGCGCAGCAAAGCGTACGTAGTCCGTCACCTGCAAATTCCTACCAACACGCTGTCGTTGCCGTGAGGACGTTTGCAAAAGCCATCGTATTACAATGATCGTACTACTCACATTCAAATGTTGCAAAGCCGTAGCTTTGTATTCGTCGTTTCCCGGCTCCAGGCGGTTGAATATCACACTATCGGCCCCTTTGCAGTAGAGACGTATTTTACTGTTTTCCCTGAACACCACGGACATGCGGCGCCTGGTGTTGTTGAAATCCAAAATACATAGGAGTTCGTACACTTTGATTTCGCCCATGATCTCGATCGTCACGCTGTTTGGAGTTCGCTCTATGAAGACAACACCGAAGTTTCTAGCCGCCGAAACAAGTGCTGACTCGTCGGGCGATTGAGCTTGGTATTTTAAAATTCCTATACAACCATTAAACAGTCATAGATAAACTTAGATAAGACATTTGTGGGCTGTAGCCCATAAACTCAAAATACGACCTAAACTCAACCCAAAAGCGCAAAAATAAATAACCCATTAGTGCAAAACAGAATTACCTTTTTAATAACCCATAAGCGCAAATAAATTTTATAAAAAAATTGTATTTTATTAAAATTGTAGTTATTATTAATATTTAATTAAGCATTTACAGTGATATTGAAATTAGTTAAAAAAATCTTTAGAATTGCGATTCCTAGTTTTTCGACCATTTGACTGTTGATTTGTGTTACGATAAGACAAAGACAAATAGACAATAATGCAATAAACTTCACGACGCGTTGTTGCAATCTGAATGGCTACGCGTACATGAAGAGCATCGAGCATTAGGTTAGTAAAATAATGTATCACGTAATACAATTTATTTTTGCCCTTTTATCCCACTACCAAGATACAAAAGTGCAAATTTCGTTTTGCGCTTTTGAGTTATCGAAAAAAAAGATCGATTTGCGCTTTCGGGTTTCACAGCATTTGTGCTATGGAAAACGTTTGACCGGTTTCCCTAGTAAACATAGAGTTAATCATTATGAACGTTTAAAATAAAAAAAAAACTATGTGTTTGCATGTACAAATATAAACAAAAAAAAAAACAGGGATCATACAAATATAATGTTTGATTATTCGAATAATACCTATTTAGTTTTAATAATATGCATTATGCATAGTAGATATGACTTGCAATAGACTGTTTTAATTGTTTTTGTATTATTTAAAAAATATACTAATTTATTATAGTTTTACCTATGATTTTACTATACATGCAAATATTATATTTATAATAATATTCTTAATGTATATACGACATACGTGTAATTATGATTTAATAATAATTATATCTTTGCTTTTTTATTTTCGCCATTTTCTCCTAGACAAAAAACTCACCGTTTTTCCAGCTAGGCATGACCGTATGACATAAAGCCAATATTTCAAAAAATGTAACCACTGTGTTTTCGGTTTCGTTATTGAATTGCCGTGCGGCGTCTACTAGACTCTGATCATACCACAGGAAGTCGGATTCATACTGAGGATTCCACGAAAAATCTACCGGAGGTGGTCCAACCTGTTTGAAAAATCAGCTCGCTTAATAAAAATGAACCCTTCAATGTGTTACCACGCTCTAAGTAGTGACATCAATACCAAGTGCAACGTAGGATTTATAGTTACTCTTCTGACACCTTGATCTACTTTGTTGTGGTGCGTATTATTGTAACTCCTGATGACTGCGGAAGGCGTCTGTTTGTCCATGTACGTCTAACGGACGAACACAAATAATATACAAACACAGAAAGCTCGGACAGTAACAGTAGACGATACTTAATGTGAACAGTTATTGTCAGAATTAACGACAAATATTATACCTTAATAACGTCGTCTGATTTTCCATAGTGGATTTCGCTCTGATCACCATAAACAATACCGTTTATTGAACACTTGTTAAACGTCATGATGTTCTAAAAAAAAGTTTAAAAAAATATGAGATACAGAATTATTGCAGGTTTTATGGTTTTATGGTTATATTATTATTATATTTTAAAATCTGGCTTTCAATATGACTATTATACTAACGAAGAATTTTTACAATAAACAATGATTCATATTATTAAAATATTAATAAAATCATAACAAATTTTTTTAATATCCTCATCATACAGCAAAACATATAATTATTTATTAGTAAAAACATAGGAACTATTGTCATAAATAGTAATTTAATACTCGCACCCGTATAGGTTGAGAGACACCTATCACCTCACTGTTAAAATAAAAAAAAAAGTTTTACAGAAAAAATAAAACTCCTGTCGGTTTTGTATATTGATTAACATGAAACCAACAAAACCCTGACCGTAAAACAAGGGCCAAGTCTTAGACCTAAAATAGTTCTTCTAAAAAAGTTTACCTACTAAAGTAGTGACATTGCGGCCAAGTATACTCTTTCTTTAGTCAATAACCTTAATACACAAATATTGAAATATATTTCAATCAGTGACAATCGCCCACTGGTTATTTTTCTTTTAAACTGGCCAAGTGATAATCAATAAAATAAAGAGATTTACTGCACGTGAATGTATTTGTATATTAAGGTAAGTAATAAGATTTCAAAAATCCATCTTGAGAGGAAATGGAGATATCTGGGTTAGAAAAACCGGCTTAAGCCGTTTGTGTAAAGATCCACTGATATTTCCGGAGTGGTCGGAACACTACTGTGCCCTCAGATCTAATGTAACCATCTATCATAGTATAATTTATATCACGTTTTGAACAAACTTCACCTTGGTCATAGTACCAGTCTTGTCTGAAAATATATACTGAATCTGTCCAAGTTCTTCGTTCAGTGACGTAGTCCTAGCTTTAGCTGCGGTACCAGACTGTTTATCATACATTTTTTCATCCCAGTTTATAAAAAAACTCTGCACGAATCGCACTACTTCGACGCTGTAAATAAAACACAACGGAATTACAACCGTGGTACTTTGTGTATGAAACTTATCGAAAGTAAATAGAAATGATTACAATAAATTATACATACCTTACATATAAAGAAATTGGCACTAATGTGTTGAGAACGATGGCGTACGAAAAAAACACCAAAGTCCCTATGGTAATCGATCCGGCTATCTTGTCGGACGGTACTAGTGAGTCCCAGGGTAAATACGTCTGGAAATACCAACCGGTTTTGAATTCCCAGAAGACAGATCCGATCATACAAGACAGGCAGAGTAAAAAAAGGGACAATACGATCTGCGGGAAAACGACGAAAACAAATAATATTTAATTATATAACGGAACAATAAACAAAGTATACTATATTATATTATATACGTATTATGTTCAGTGTACATGTAATATTATTAGGTAAGCTTATACTGTTTTTTACCCCAATGATGAGAAAGTTGAGCAGCCGATCAATATTGGTCCGCTTGAATTTTGACTTTCCTGAATTTTGCATGAGTTTCGTTTCCCTCCCGGCAAAAATCACCATCCCATAACACCATTCCGTGTTTCTTAGCACACATCCTCTTAGGATAATATGATCATTGTTTAAAATCAATCTGAAACACAAAAATATGACAGTGACATTATCATATTTGTCTAGAATATTGACAGGAATAATATGTAAAAAATATTAAACTCAGTGAGTTTTAAATACGCGTATGGCTATAAGCAAATCGTAATCTTTATTAAAAAAAATTTACAACTTTCATGAAAATGTACTATTTATAAAATCCTAATAAGTTGCATGTTTCCATTGCATTTCCAAATTGTATTGTACTATTGTACATAGACACTCACTCTTTTTTATTCCACTGTAAAACACCGTGAAATTTATTGAGCAAATTGTTTGGGGTTTCGCACCGAATGAAGCCGTCAAAGTCCGTCACTTCGTGTGCAAGATCCGCCACTTCGGCCAAACACTGCCGACACTTGAGGTTGGTTTCACTGGATAACAGATAAAACATGAATACAAAATATTAGGACGATCACGTTTTTGTTCTCTTAGTTATTAATAACTAATAACTCTGTTGTCCATGTGGATTTAAGACCATCATTATATAGGTGTAAATTGTAAGGTTATAAAAGTTATAACAGTTCTTGTTTGACCTCTGTCTGAGCAACATGTGCCATATTTTATCGCACCCGCATTTATAGCTTCCAGTAGCAAATAGTAAGAGTTTTTTTTTTTATTAGGGTTGAGGTTTCGACAGCATAGGTCATTAGCCTGTGGTACTGTAGGGGGAAACTGTAGGTTGTTAACACGTGTGTGTGTTTTGGCAGAATTTTCGATTTAGGCACCCGTAGGTATCTGCCATGCCCGGGTGGGGTATGGTGGCACTTGTTCTCCGGACACCAGTAAGAGTTTTATTTAACAGTTAATAACAATTATGATATTTTCTATAGTTATATAATATTTGACGCACTAAGTAGGTACTAACACCAAAACCAATGAGGCGATGAGCCAAATGCCCGGAGCGGCTAATACGCACCTGCGTAATTCACATTCGAATAACCACAACAACAACATGATTCCAACCAACACCGAAATGTCTGTCAACGAAAGACTCTTAGCATCCAACAAAACTACTAATAAATCAATCTCTAGCATGCAAAACAATACATCAAACAGCCAGAACTCACAAAATTCTACAAACAACGACAATTTTAATAACCCATCAACTAACCCCATAAGCTTCGCTGAAACCACACCTATCTTTCATTTTCCCAATATGAACCAGGCTATAATCATACCTACTCTCATTATCGAAGGCATCTAGCAAATCGATTACGTTATCGCTATCAACAAACTAATTGGGCGGCCTAACATAATTTAAGCGTCCCGCATTTCTAATGACCGTTTCTGTACTTTTTTTTGCATAAATTAGCAATAATTAATTTACAATACATTAGATGACAATATTGTTAGATTACATGAAAGTATTTTGATAAACGAACACACAATTACTATTAGGAAATTAAATAATCCTTCAAAACGGATTATTATTTCTAAAGTGTGCCCTAGCATAGTAGTATCCCACACAACACAATTAGCACAGCATTAAATGAGTTGGGTAGCTATACCACATCAAATATTACATTTCTCAAAGCAGGGTTCAATTCAAGTGAGCTTGCACATATATAAATATATAACAAGTTTTCAAAGACAAGTTTATATAAATCCCGAAGACTACGACAAACTTCCCCCGTCTCTAGTTATTAATCTCAACAACACCAACTTTAATTTTAACTTTAACCTAACAGGAGAAATATACATACGCCCCGTTATTCAATACCGATGAAAATACCTCTATAGACTCATATCTCATTGTAACCAAATATAAGTTGACTCGGTGTGCGTAGCAGGTAAGGATATACGTATTTGATAAGGAGAAAAACCCGATAGAAACATTTAAAAGACCACTCACTAATATAAGCATTTAAAGTTTAGATAAGCCTGTTGTAGAACACTTCACATTTTGATCAGTGCCAACACACCCTTAATATTTATAGATGATATTTTATGGATATGACTATTATAATAGTATATTATACCGTACCCGTCCAATTCTGCGGTTTCTATGAAACACAGACCACTTGGCTCGCTCGTAGACAGCAGCAACACGTCGGCGGCCACAAACTGCCCGTCTTCCATTAAAATCACGTCCCCCACGTGCACGTCCTTCCATTTCACGTTCACTACATGGCCGTTTCTGACAGTCTTCGATATGCGGTTGTTCACTTGGTCGTCGCTGGCATGCCTTTGCTACATAAAACACAATTAATTTGAAATGTTCAAATTTGGTTTTTTATTTGATTTTCTCGTTTCTCTCAAACCCCCGGTATCGGTTGAACTTCATAACATTTACAGGAGGCATATCGTATATCGTATCCTTACAGTTGAAATATATGACATTTAATATTAAGATTAAAGATTTGATTTATTCTTTTGGTTAAGGTCCGTAGGAGTTTGTAGGAGTTTTCAACAATATCAATATAAATTATGTTATTTTTTGTAAAAGTTATATTTTTATTATTTATATAATATGTAAACAGAGGTACGTAGGGTAGGTGTGTTTAAGATATTTTTCATAATTTTATTATTCATTTATATTTTAAAACTGCATTAAAAAAATTAATGAGAGTTTATTTGTATGCATATTTTTCCAACATTTGATGTATAAAAATGACCATAATATTATTATGTATGGTATTTTGTAATATATATTATTACCTATGGTGATGTGATTCAAGGTTATTGTATTGATGAACTGATGGTAAGTGGGAACTAATTTAACATATAACTTAACGAGGGTTGGATTATACTTTCTGTACACCGAATATACTTTCTAACCACAGGATTCAGCAAACTAGAAAGCCATATTATTTTTTTCGTAAATTACGGTAAGTATAATATCACATTAAGTGCATGCTCTTACTTGAGTATTTAACGGTTTGTCTGAGACCTCAGACCATAGTGCATTGAATTAACAGCCTCTTTACGAAATCCACGTAACGAAGACTAATTAATATATCGTACATTTGTGACATTCTGAGATTTACAATAGTTTATAGTGTTACAAGTTCATACGTACATAATCGTCGTAGGCGTCTTTGATGGCAGTGATCGTTAGCACGCCGACCAGTGGTATCGAAGTGGTTATAGGTGTCAATGATGATATAATCGAAATCATCTGCAACATCATTAGGCACAGGAAGTAGAAATTGGCTAGCCGCTGAAATTGTTCGAATAAATTCAGAGGCAGGAACGTCAACAAGCTGTACTTCGATGTTTTTATGTAATTTGTCTAGGGAAATGTCCAAAAAAAGAAACAATAATTACTCTATGACGCATACATTATACATTTTTAGTTCACTCAGGTCTCAAGTAGGTATACCAAATAACAGAGTATTAAGTACATATATTATACCTATATCAATTATAACAGTACGTGAAAACAATAATAATATGTTTATAAAGACTTACCGCATAATTGAACTGAGCATTGTAAGTCGAATCGTTTGCTTTGATAAAGCGTTCTTTTTCTAAAAAATATTCCATCAATTAATAAAAATAAAAACAGACACAAGTGATATCGATAGATACTAAAAATAGAGGATAATTAAGGGAACAAGGTCGTAATGATCTAATAAATAAATAAATTTAGGTACTAAATATTTTACGAATTTTCACTGAGAATTAATTGAATATACATTGGTTTTGAATTCACATTCAAATTATACAATAAATAGGTAATTTACATAGAAAATGGGGGGTTTCGAGGAATAGAAGTTTGTATCTCCACAATCTACAGAACATTCCTTAAGTAGCACAAAAAATCTCAAGAATTTGAAAATATTTAAATCTAAGTAGGTATATTTAAAAATTCTAAAAATCAAATTTTTAATAAATGAATTATCAAAGGAAAAAGTGGGAGTGAGCATGCTTAGTCAAACACCCTGTATAATAACTGTATAATAACTAGGCCTCGTATTTAAATGCACTAAAAATGCACTTATGACCTAAAAACTTTTAAAAATGGCCAACCAATCAGCATGGCCACGCGCACCACCAAAACAATGTTATTGCACGATAAGAAAACGTATAGATGATCGGCTATTATACATAACAATTAACAACACTCAAACCAAAAAAAAAACATTGTATAATTTTGTAATACGACACATTATTATGTTTTACACGTCATTATTACGCCATAAGCTGTAACTTTGTCACTCCGTTCCGAACCTATAACATCAATGTATGAAACACATTCGGATTTTTTGGATCTTACATTATATTACTATTTTACAATATTAATATATATTATAGTGATTTGGTGGACGGGCCACAGTCACAATGATTGGAAGCGTTTTGCGATATCAGAGAAGATATTTGTCCTCTTGTATATAGAGGACAAATATTGAGGTTTTGAGGTTAAGTTGGCTTAGGTAAACGATACATTGTATGGGTGTAGTACGCGGGTGAGTATTGTAAAATCGAAACGTCGATAACCCGATTGGATTTTAAAAATCTATCAGAACCCCGATTGTTTGTAGACCTATATTATATATTATGCCTAACAATCCAATATTCCTTATAGAATTTATTATAAAAATGCTTACTTTAAAATACCCACACGCAAGGGTTTAAGAAATAAAAAACCGGCCACTCGCTGGCTGGTTTATTACGATATACATTCCAAGAAAGAAAAATGACGACTATACTTTGATATTATATTATCTCGAGTGTTTGTATTAATTAATAAGTTAAAGCCTCTTAAAAATTAAACACACACGCTTGCCACTATAGACAAATAAATCTACTCAGAATAATATGAATAATAATAGTGTTATAGGTATAAATTGTCATAGTTTTGTATTTGTTACTGCAAACGATAGTATTCCAGAGACTATAATATAGTATACATAAACGTATTATACATTCTTAGGTAATCGCACTGTGTACCTACCTATAAATAATATATATTATTAAAAGCTCTATAATTCAATTGAAGTGTCAAGTGAAGGGACATTAAATACGTACTAATTTTAATAACACGAGTTAGTTGACCATGTGATTATTATATCAAAGTTTAGGAGAGGTAATACGTACCTAATGTATGCATATATACATTCATTGTAAATACTTATTTAAAAGTAAACAAAATAGTGTCATTACATTATAGGTCTTGTAAATAAAGTTTTACAACATAAAAAGACATTCTGGTTTATAATAATTTAGTCTATAAATATAATGTACATTATTGTTTAAAATAACAACTAGGTATATTATGAAAGTTACCTTATTAAAATAATTACAAATCATTTTTAGGTAGGTACAATTTATTAATATTTTTTAAATTATTATTACTACTGATTCGTTTAAGTTTGCGATAATACTATTTTATAGTACCTACCCTATCGGCGAATTTAGAAAGACGATAGTAAAATTGCGCATATATATAATATAATATATGTGTATACGATCTTAATTTATTGTCACGTCGTAAACATTTTAGGCTATCCTATTATATTTTATTAATCGGTATTAAGGTGCACTCAGATAAATTAAAGTTATATTCAACAGTTAAATGTACTTAAACGGTAAGGTATACTAAGCAACTATAACTGCAGAATATTATATCAGCTCTTGTTTATTCAAATATACGATTGTCGACAAACATTGACGCGAGGCTCAATATATTATATCATTCCATTAAATCGGCGTTCATTTGAATAGTACATTTTCGCTAAAACTAAACTAGCAAATAAGTAGACAAGTATTATTTTTTTTTTTAATATTTTGTATTATGCCAATCGATTTCCATCTAATAATGACAGACTGCTTACCGCTACCATATCTTTATTACAAATATTCGTGTCAAGCTCTACAGAACCGTGTCTAATACCACCTGGTCACAATATAATATTATACCACGAATAATATACTTTATCACCTGGCATAATATAACTATCATTATCAAGTTTTAATAAAATCCTGGTCGCAAAATTGGTTAACGATTATCAACAGGTATGTATTGGTGTTATAAAAACTTTAAAACAAATTACCCCACAAAGCGATTTACGCGAATAACTTCCCCAAGTATTTTTATTCGAAAACAAACTGTTTTAAACCCTACAGTACCTATTTATAATAACTACGATTTTTTGGGTTCCACATTCTTAATATTCTTAAAATTACTAAAACGCAATGATTAGGTATAGTAGATTAGTAGCTATATGGTGAGTACCTATATAGATAATATTGAATAATGTATATATTTATTATGTTATATTAAATCAAGAGCTTTGAGAAAAAAAAAATTGTAAGTAATTTTTGTAGTTGGATAACACTTCAACTCAATATCAATGTAATATAATATCGCAACTAGTACTCATATATAATTAAACCATTAGCCCGCGTGATATTTGTTAATATTACGGCTAATAATGTCTGTTGGAATTAAAACTTTGAATAATTGTCTTTTGTAACAAATTGTTAATGTCAGTTACCTGAAGCATTCGAGATCATTCCGTAGTCTCATTGAGGTGTTTTACGTCCACGGTACGCGCACTCACTGGAGGCCCACTGACGAGGAACTGTCACGCTCCCAAACGTAATGCACGCAAAGGGGGGGCGTTTGACAAAATAAAATACCCCTTTCCGTTCCCACAACTCGCCCCCTACCCAAACACCGCCACACGGCCACCCGTCGTAACCACACATTACTGTTTTAATATATCTGCTGTAGAAAATATTAATATGGAAAAAACAACACACAATGCGTATGTTGTGAATATTTTTTTCGCCAACCACCATATTATAAATATATTTTATCACTAACTTTCAGATATTATAACAAGCGTATTTTTATTAGCATATATACGGTATGAAATCAATCGATGAGTAACTAAACGTAACAATTTTACCACGCGACGTGAATAATTAAACGCAGTCGTTCTTTTTTGTAAAGGTTTACGATTTTTGGATAATCTATATATTATGCTGAATTAGGTACGTGGGTTTTTAATTTTGATTTTCGGCTGAACGAGACGTGGAGAAAAATACGTCTTTATTCAGGTTTCACTCTTTATTATTATTATGCAAGCATAATATTATAATAATATATTGTTTCAGGCAAAACGGGGTCAACGGCTTAAAGGGAAAAAAGGAAGGGTTGAAAATTAAAAATAAATAAGTATATTATGTGTGCATATAAATTTAAATTAAAACTATAAATAATTACTACGCAGGTGCAATTGATGTATTATATTATGTCTTTGAAGTATTTCAATTGTTGTGTGACGAAAAATGTGAATTTCGTTTATAAAAAAAAAGGTTCTCTTATTATTTCAAAATTAATTTCTTTAGATGATAAATAAGTTTTTTTTGCATAAATTATTTTATAAATTTCAAATTTTTAAACTCTCTAGTTGGTGATTCATTTTCAAGTCACCTTTCTTTCCAACTTTAATATTAATCGTTTTTAAAAATTGATATAAATAGAATTTTGTTTTTAACACTTTGAAAATTGCACCACAATTTGTTAAGTATAAGTACTAATTAGTTATTACTTATTACTGTATATACTAGATAAATATTACGCTTATTCTGCTAATTTTTAAATCTTCCTTTAAAAATTAAATTAATTTTAATAACAACTGTCATTCAAATAAACAATAAAACGATCATACAGATGATTTTATTCGAGTTTCTAGATAATTTTTAATTTTTACTTGTATTTTTTTTTAATTATAAAATACTAAACAATTATTTAGGATACGTTTTCGAAAATATCGACATACGTTTGAAGTAAAAGGCAATTTATGTACATTTAAAATGCACACAAAATATTAGGACATCAAATATAATGAGAACCATGTTTAAAATTTGTTGGTTCTATCAAAATGCGTTTCTTCGTCACAAGACCCAACCTAAAATATAATACAAAAACATTGTGTACAAGGACATAAGGATAAGATAAAATATAGACATGTAGATGACACATCATTTAGGTATGCATAGTCCATATGTAGACATATAATACTAAAGTAAGTGCCTACTTATACAGTAAGTACTAAGTTATACCTGGAGTTTGTACAACGTATTCCCGCAGAAGACAATATACCTATTATTATTATTATTATTATTATTATCTGAACAGATGACATCATCGGCTGTGGCGTCCGCCGAGTTGCAGGTAGACTTGATAACTGTTATCGGTAATGCTATTAATATTATTAAATATTATATTATAATATATATATATATATATATATATATTAAATATTATATTATAACATTATAATATTTAATATCACCTGTCTATGAAATTTGTCATTTTTATAACGTTCTACTTTTGACCAGCTAAAACTCATATTTCTCCCACCGTGCGGCGCTGATCGTGAATGTGTCCCGACGCCCAACAATATAATATTATAAACCTTAGGTTCGTAGATTCACAATAATGATAATTCGGCAACAACTGTGTAAATATAATAATATAGTGTTGATTGTTAACATTTTATTATTATTATTGCGTTCATATATGAATCTGATATGTACGATAATAATAACATCATAACACGATGCTTGTGAAAAAAAAATTAGTGGTAGCCGATGGGTAATTACACACCTGACATAGGACGTAGTTCCTGTACCAAAATATAAGTTCGTTATATGACAGAGTCTCGAGAGCGTCAACATGCCTGAAGGTGTGATGCGATTATTTAGGTATTGACTGTGCGAAATGTAAGCAATTTATCTCCCGAACCATCCAGCGGTGACAAAACAAACATACATATTATCTACTTACATGCTCACGCCTCGCCTAATGTGAACGTCGTCGTATATTAAGTAGTTACCTAATGATCGTATTATATAATATAGATGGATGTAAGTAAATTGTAAGTACGGGTGAGTAAAATGTTATCGTCGAAAACGTGTAAGCCCATTACAATTACAGTATTTCCTAACCTTTGTTTGCAACTGGATTTTCATCTTTCTTTCAAAAAAAAAAATACTCGTAAGCAGTGCAATTTTCAGCTTTTTTATTAAACTTTAAGAAAAAATTATAGCATCCAAATTTAAGATTAAAATTCTAGAAGTATAAAGACGTATAACATAGGTTTTTTTCGTTCAGACTTTAGCGAAGCAATACGTACTTACTGTATAGTAGATACTGGTCTCTTAGATAGTCCAAACTTAATTCATCTAATACCTAGATCAACAACCAACAGACAAAAAACTTTTATGTAGCTCCAATAGTAGTCGAAAGAAAGACCCCGGAAAAAACCTATGGGTACATAAATCCACGTGAGTGAGTGAGTGACATAGAATTTATTGTACGATCATATTACTATATTATAATGTTTTATAAATTCAAAATTTAAGTACCTATTCATTATTATAATAACGTATAAATATGTAAGTACAACTACTTTTACTTGAAGTAATAATTTTCCATATTTATGACTAATTCAAAAATATTAAATATAAAATGTAAATAAATATTTAAAAAGTAAAATATACAAAATGAAAGCACACATTTTTAATATTTCAGATGTCAAATATAATTGTTTTACAAAGCAAATATAGTAATATAGTATACACTAAACCCTACAATAAACATAGGTACTGAAATACCTGTTTTAATGAATATGTAAACTTTTCAATTAATTGGATTTCATTATAGAACTATTAGTACAAATGTTTATTTACCCATTGATTTTAGTGAAATATACTTTACTTAACTTAATTTATATTTTATATTGTTGGATACCAACAAAGTTATACAATATATTGTATCTACAAAGTATAAAGTAAAGACTATAATTACTGCTTGTGCAACAAGTATTAAACAACAATTTTAAAAGATACATTTAATAAAAAGAAAATTTGAATTGTTCAACTATTTTACAATAAGTAAATTTCAACTTGAATCAAACATTAAAACAAATAACAATAATACCGGGGAGGTACTCAAACAAGGATTTTTATATTTACGATGGAAATTTAAAATAAATAAATGGTTACTAAGTATTGGATTAGTAGAAATTAGTTTTTTTTGTACATTGGTTGCCATCGGTTAATCGGGCTGATCAAGTACAAGCATGCATCAAACCAAACAACACATTGCCTACCAAGGTGGCTGAGTTGCACTTATATAGCCGCTCATCAGCTTATCCGCAATCCCCCGCAGATAGATTGAATACAATACAATAAATAGACAATTATTTAAATTAAGTTACCTATATTATATTTAGCACAAAAAAATCCATACAAATTTACCACTTAATAAGTTCCACCTGGGAGGGTAATTGCACACCCTGACCACCACATAAATACGGACTTGCAGGTTACAGTATGGTGAAACAAAATACAGAAATTCAATGAATACCGGTCATAAAAAATGTATTAAAATGTATTAAAATGTATAGGTATATTTATTTATTCATTAGTTAAATATACGAGTATGAATAGAATTTTGATTGATGGAAAAGAAATATTTTGCTAAAAGTATTTATACAATTTCACATTTGACTAGGCAACATCGCATTTTACTACTGTGTTACTGCATTATTATGTTATACGATTAAATACAACGAAAAACCGAGGAAGTCATTCTACTGTATAATTATATAAATGCTGGTCTTGTGCTATTTCATAGCGTAGATCGATGTAATAGATGTGTTAAATTTAAATCCAATGATAAATTTTTGCATAGGTTCGAAAAACTTTTCTTAATGGAGACGTTCAGTCAGACTATATTTTTAAGGATTTTTGATTAAATATTTACGTATATTGCTAATTCATAATTTTAAAATTTATAAAAATATTATTAAAAAAATCAATCAAAATCAAATTTAAAATTTATAATGCCTATAAATAGCTTAAGTCCATTTTAAATATATTAAACATGTCATAGAATATTTAAAATGATAATACAGGTAGTAGTGGAATGTTTCAAGTTTCTACTTGAATGTTTTTTGAATAATAACTCAATAAAAAAATCATTAAACCTTAAATATTCAAAATATCGTGAAAGGTACAACGCTAATCAAAAATGTATAGATTTTCATGCTCAACTTTTTTTGAATTTCTAGTAAAAAGTTTATGAGGAAACTTTTATATCTTTTCAAATCTTAAGTGTGAAAATTACAAATTGTAGGAACTATTATTACGAAATAAATTGAAAATGATTTTGGAGGACTTCATAAAAATGTTAACTCCAAAATCTTATAAAAATGCCAAAAATAGTGCCACTCCTCAAAAGTGCAACGTGGCACCATTCACCCCCCCTCCCCAATCGGCAGTTACATATCTCGAGATATTGCTATCACAAGAGTCTAGTACCGCGGTTCTCGCATGATATATGTGAGTATAAATAATATAATATTACAATATACGTTAGGTATCAATAATCTATATTTTTATATTCATAAATCATTATACGATAGCATGTCCACATATAGAACGGACGGAGCGTGTGTGTCTATACGCAAAGGTCGCGTCCGGCACGTCGACACAGA